GCTTCTGAAAATCCCGGGGGTTTATATATTATCGATGGCAAATCGACCCGCGACCCGCTGAAAAATCCCCTCCCCGTTGCAACAAGCTCACTCGTCTTGCGATCACCTTCCCCAGCGGCAAACCTGCCGAAGAATGCATTCTATAATATAAGATCTTGATATATACTCACAACATCACATTCGACTCTCAGCTTGAGCATAAGTCAGACCTGATTGTACAATTCGAAAAGAACGAACCTTTTCCTATTGCTTGTCGTAAACGCGATCAGCGAAGCAACAGCCAGGGTCACAAGGATATTAATGCATCCTTGGGCCCAGCATCTCCCTATCCAATATGCTCTAGGTCAAGACATATGACCTCCAGACATGTTCTTGACAATAAACAAGATCGACATATCTTTGGCTACGGGAAAGGGGGATTTCGATTTCACTCAACTATATAACTTACAAGAGTCATATGAACTAACTAGCAGCTTATATACTCACCGAGAGCGCGAACCTTGTCACAAGTGTTCACTTGGCCTGCAAAACAGCCCAGGCACTCGACGGCAAAATTATCCAGGAACTTTATGAGAGACTTTCTCTTAATGACTTCGGTGAAACGAATTCACCAGGGAAGTTTGTTCACCCTGACATCCCTGCCAGTCAACGAGAGGATCTTTCTGGATCCCAAATGTACCACTCTGGGCGACGAATATACCCCCTGGAAATACTCAACAATATGGTGCTCTCCGAACCAGCTTCTTGGAGCAAAGAAAACGACCCAGTCGCAATTTTCTCGCTGCAAATGTCGGGCAGCGAATCTTATATATTGATTCTCTTCAACCCTAAATTATCCCCTCTTTTCCCTATCTATTACACATTGACAGCGGTGCCATTATCAACCTCGCTCGTACCGGGCTGAGCGGTCATATAACCATCAGTGAGATCCACCTCGCTCTCATCTCGCCAAAGTGCGGCTTCTGCGACGAGTTTGGCTCCATGCTATTCCTACCAACCTGCACTAGGGTTTGTCACGAATATCTCTGTACGTCGCCTCGATCTATTCAACCGCAATTCCAAGGGCAGGATGTGTCAAAACTATGTTCTAGAATGGAGCACAAGATCGAATCGAGGAAGACAATGATCTGAACCTCGCAGAGGGGGACCATTCTTTCCAGATCGAGCCACATTATCCCCTGAACCTTCTCCTATGATCTACGGTACTGGCAGACCAAGTTTACGATACATTCCATCCAGGATAGTCTCGTTGTATTCTGGATGGCCATCCAAAGCCGAACCCCAATAGCTCCTGGATTCGATCCATGAAAGCGGCCGGATATGGGGTTGACGATGAGGCCCTGCATGTTAGATCAGGACGAAGTTGAATCGGAGAAGATCAGCACTTTGCTTCCTCGGATCTTTAGTTATTTGCAGCCAGACTTTGATGCCGTTGAGCAAAGAGAGTACAGGGTGCTTGACTGGCATTTGCATGAGCCTGGTAGCGCTGGCTATGGCGGACGTTTTGGTAGGAAACCAGTTGTCTTGCTCTACCCACTTTACTTTTCTTCTTTATTCTAGCCTCATGAGGGTCTCGATCATCTTAACTGTAGCAACACGCCCAACCGAGAATTTAGCAGAAACGCATTACCCTAGTCCAGAGTTTGACCCTTCAGGGAGTTGAGAAGATATCTGGTCTGAGACTCGTGAACAATTCTCCTGGTGGAGGACGCCAGGATTGGGGGGTTTCAGCTTCCCCCCGAATTCATATGTCAAGTTCCCCATCTTACAGGACCTCAGACCTATCTCCCAACCCCTGACCAACCCTCTCGGCACACCTAACGTGGATCTCACGTGCTTGGTCATTATATAACGTGCCCAGCCTCATCTGGCAGCTGCCCCCCCCCCCTTTTCAACCAAATCGTTTGGGGCATATGACTGTTCTGGCGGACATCTCGAGCTTCTCCTGTTTACCAGATTATATATTTAACCAACCTTGATATGTCCCGGGCTTGCAGAAACACTGGGCACTCGATGCCGGCCACTCTTTATCTGAAGTAGTCGGTTCTCTGAGACGACTGACGCCTCAGAATACCCAACAGTCTCTGACTGATGATCCACATGACCATCAACTGAGGTCATTATACTATACCATGGGCCAGATGAACGAGCTAGCCTCACTGCACTTTCTCTGTTAAACCTCGCGACATCACTACAATCACTGTACAACTGCACCGGCAGCAACATGTCAGGCTTCACGAATAAGTCACTTCATGCATTGAGTGTGGAAAACCAACAGTTCCAAGCCTCGCCTCTACACTGGACTTCCGAAAATCTTGAGCGGGCTATCGATTCATCGAGGTAGAAGCTGGTGAAATGCACAGGCTCTCATTGCCGCTGTCGAATCATCTCGAGGACCGATCTTTTGCTTCACTCAGCGATACTGGTGTTGGGATATATATAAACATCATCTAAGATACCAACTGTATCAGCTAGCTCAAAGACGATATCACTACCTTAGTTCAAGAAGTTAACCCTAGGCCTCGGCCTATCATTTCCGCTGTAAGGTCCAGGACAGGAAGAAGAGCAAGCGTGATTTACCACCAGATACCACTGTGGTAGCCATCAACGCCCATCTTGGTCGAGAGCCGGGTCCCACCGTCGACACCGAGTATTTCGAATTTGATGATTACCGTGCTTGCCTTGCTGTCAGAAAGAGCTGGAAGACCAAGTTCGGAGCAAAAGACACAATGGCTCAAGCTCTATATACATTCTTCCCCGGGGTTCCCTTCTGGAGAATCTTGGAATACCTATCCAGTATGGAGATGATCTAGATCCTGACTATGTGCCCGGTGCAAATGCCTCTGAGCGCTCACCAGCATATCGGTATAGCCCCCAGCTTAGGCTCGAAGAAGGGCATCGGATGCTGCTACGGATGCAAGACAACGTCCCAGCGTGCTGAACCAGGACTTAAAGCAACACTTCGCAAAAGAAAATACAGTCTATGGGATGTGAAACAAAAGTATACCACCAAAACCCCACGTTAGGGAGCGTTGCCATCGGCCTTATCTCCTGCATAAGATGCTTATAGGTGTGAATTCTGTGATCTTCAATCTTTAGGCAACGATGAACTGACTTAAGCAGAATCTTAACCTTCCAACTCTGAAGATCGCCACTGTGAAGGACAACGAGACCATCCTTGAATGGCCAAGCGCTGCAGGGTCGACGGAAACGACGATATGCAGCACCTGCGGCTTTTGACTCCAGCAGACATGCAATATCAGAGGAAGATCGAAACAAGTGCCACGCTGAGGTATCCATAATGAAACCCAAAGCAATGCGGTGGGGAGTTCTCGAAATGCTACTCATGGGAAAAGAACGTGCCCGAAGACCTATCTTGAGGGTCCTGAAAGAACTCAAGACAGATGTCACACAAGCGTATATTATAAAAGATCCTCATTTAGGACACTCATGAAAGAACAGGGCGCTGAAGTCGACGAGACCGTCGATCAAAATCACGCTTGCTTTATACGTACTCCAAGTTGCTCGATGCTATGTTATATATTCGACAATTCCCTCCGACTTTCCAAGCTTTCCACGAAGGCCTTGGCCAGGAGCTGAGATATATCTACAAAGCCCCACGCGTTCGTACCAGGTAAGTCAAATCCTCTTCATTACTCATGCGAATATCTTCTGACAGCTCAAAGTGTTGTACATCCCTCGTGGATCAGGACGGCCATGACAGCAGAGATGGCTGCCCGCAAGTCCGGCAACTGCGCGTCAACTTCAAGGTACCCATCAATGACTTTTTGAGGCATCGGCAGAGGAGAACAAAAGCCAGATATCATCGAAGATGGCCCATATGACAAACCTTGCTGCCCGAAGCGAGAACTTAATGCGGCAAACTCGACGAAGCTCATTATATAACTCTGCATCCAGGAGAGGATCAGTTCAGGTTTCGAACTCCAGCATACAAGACAAGTCCGCTTCCTAATCTGGGGTTGATGAACATTACTGCCAGCCTCTTTGCTGTAGTTCGCAGTGTCACGGGACCCCAACGATAACCAGACGATGTGCTGTGTCTCGCGAAGCAGTTCATGTTTCGACTCAGCCACACATTTCTTCTCACGGTAACGCCGCTATACAACTCCTGGAATGACATAGGGATTTTGACTCTCTTCCCTGGGTTTCCATTGCAGTCACTTGAGCATTTCCGGCACATTTACCGCTACCACCACTTGAGGACGAAACAAAAGTTGGCCGCTACTATCTGTGCCACTAGAGTACACACTGTTAACCATTCTGTCACACCAATCCCGCCAGGTCCCGAGACTGGAAGGGGAGTTTATGGTGTACTTCCTATGGTCCACTGTTGCTGGGCTAGACAAGTTTGTGCTTCAATGGCGACACTATATAAACGGGAGTCCAAATTGCACTTGACTCAAGTACAATGGCCGAAATTCCATATCGACGTGTCAAAAGAAGTCAAACATCGACTTGACAAAGAAATTCGCAACCAACCACACCCTAACGAGATTATCATGAAGTGAGCAGCCATTTGCCTCTGTTTAACACTCTCACTTATGAGGGAGTGGATGATGGCGTGGGTAGAGAGGAAGGCCAAGTTCAATTGCACCCAGCTGGACAACCTATATGCGACCTCACCGGGTCCCCGCCGCCTCGTTTGAGAGACCTCCTTGAGCACCCAAGGGTGTAAGCACATCGCCGGTGGTAAGGACACTCTCACCATCTCGCCGCGCTGAAGAAAGGCATCGCTAGGCCCAAGTTCGTGGGTCCCTTAATCAACCTATTGTTGATGGACATCAACACCATGCCCTTCCAGAACGTGAATGCGAAGGCACACAGCACCACAGAGACCATACTGGACTGCAAGGGGGTCCTAGAGCATGGACATAGCGCATTCGTCAACATCATTCGTGCCAGTTTGAGCCGAAACATCACCATTGGCGAAATTCACATAATGATGGCATTTTCTAAGTGCGGGTTTTGCGAGGAGTACCATGAACCACCCAACCACCTTTCCCATCATTAGGGGCAACATAAACTGGTCAGTAAGTTTATTATCACAGCAAAACAAAAAGTCAGGTAAGCAAAAACATACAACAGCGGGGATTCGCTGGTCGTCACCGACCCAACTACTAATCCGCCGGTTAGTGGCTTGACTATGGGAGAGCGGACGGGATCCCGTATTTTCCACTACCTATGGTCGTATGTACTGACTGTTCTGTAGGTGTAGATTATATCGTTTCACTTGCATCTACTCGTTGAGCTCACGGCAACGAAAAATGGAACTCTATCGCTGATAGTTCCCACCGAGCACTAACACCAAAGCAGCTTCAGGTTGGCTGCATACACACATCAGTCTTGCCTTCTTGTTGTATAGATATTTGTCCCACTTCAGCAATGGCAATGAACCCATTCTCAGCGTGCTCGAGCGGAAGCCTCTAGCACCAACCTGATCATCATCTTGGGTATGATGCAGGTGTCGAAGCATGTTCCCTTCGATGATCCTTTCGTGCTCAACGTCGTTCGCGCCGTCTACCTCGCCAGCAGCGCGATCCCACGTCTGGAAGAGTTCGTCTTGGTCATGCACGAGGGGTATGCGAAGTGGGACCTTCACAAGATCCATCAAATCGCAAATACAAAGCGACCCTGAGTAGACATTGGGGAGAGCACAGGGCAGAGGTGACTGCTCTCGGATAAGCTCTATGACGCAGCCTGGCCGTTGCTGCTCGGGGCTTCAACTGTCTACATATCTACACAGGAAGCAAAATATGTCTAGCGGAGAACTGGCTATCTGGTGCCATGGATCTCCATTGCAAACCTCTATACATAAATCGCCTCAATGCTAGTGGGCATAAACTCCGGAAGATTAAACAAGCAGAGGTGACATGGGCCGTTTGGATCGTAATGAGAATGGAGGCACCCTAGAGTACCCGACAACGAGCCTCTTCCCGGCCCTGATTACCACCGAGGAGGTTGAGGGTTAGGGAGAGCTGCATATATAAGCCGACAAGTCGTCTCGAAACCACCACTCACTGTCATCCATGAGCAACATGATGCCTGAAGTTCCGGTCCAGCTTCTGCTGAGAGGAACAAACGATCGAGACAAAGTCCATGGAATCTGCAACATGATCCAGTTTCTTAGCGGCCAGGACAACTATGTGGCGATTGTCATTTTATAGAAAGCCTATTACTCTTTATTCTGGCGCACGCTATTCAGATTCTGAAGTTCGCGCCACTCGATAACCGACCTGATGGAAGTTATATGACCTCAGAGATATATACACCCGTCGTTTCCCCCTGGGCATCCCTAGGGTTGATTTTCCAGGTCCTTAGCTCTTCGGCCTCTACAGCCTTGACGATATGTACCGGGCCATCCTACTTGTCTTAGTCTTGCTATCGCAGCGGACTCTGTTCACGCATCATCCCTTAGCCCAACACCCCCCTCCTGACCCTCCTCCTGACCGGTGGGGTTACCGCCTTACTAGAAGCGACACCGCTAGGGTCTTACTAGCTATCCCTTTTCGCTTGAATCCCGAACGAGCCCAATCCTATAAAAACTTAGAGGTAAATTATCTTCTCGACCGATTCAAGAGGTTAGAAGAGGAAGCGACACTGTGGTTTCTCCTCTTCCGAGAAGATAGCCTGTAAGATAAAAAGAATAGGCTATCCAGCGCAGACGAAGAACTCGAAGACACTGTTGTGAGGCTATGTTGGCATCACATTCCGTGCTCCTTCTCCTAGGTAATCAGGGGACCTTGCTTTTCGGTTCCTAGAGCTCCGACTCCTCAATCGCCACTTTCTTCAGTTTAGAGCACGACTCCTCTTTCCCGCATTTTCAGCCCAATAGTCCTGCTGTATCAGCGGATTCAGCATGGCCACCAATCTGACACTAGGTTCCTCTAATGGTACCACAGATACAATAGAAGCTGCCGAGATCCTGTATAACATGCATGGCCCGGATGACGAGCCTTCACAGCAATTGAAATAGCTTGCCACTGCAGATTCTGAAGAGCAGCCTCGCCGTCCAAGCCATCGGCTTCCAAGACGAGCGCAGCACAGGTAACCACGTTGCTCGCAAACTCCCCTCCCTCTTACCCGGTCGTGGTGTTAGAGAGTTTCACTTCGTCTTGCCTTTTCGTGTTGCGGGCCCTGTACTAGAGTGACACGGCAGATTCTGGAGAGCAGCCCTCGATCCAAGTATAAGACGGTTTCCCAGTTCTATATATATCAGACATAAAGATGCAGAGTGATTCATCTTCACTCTGCCTCATCCCATTTTACTCTAATGCATTGGAGCTTTGGGTTAATTCCTTCCCTTTGAGAAGTCTGGCGATCTTTATGAAAAGAATAACCCTGACAGTTGGGACAAACATCTCAATATGTGGTTCCACTTCAACATCTACCAGGCCATAGAAGTCCCCCTATTTCACCCAATCATCGCTATATGAATCCAGTAACTTTAGACGGTTCTCATTTATTCGACAACTACAACATTCTCTGGGCATATTCAGTAATCATGAGACCATTCATGTAGACAACAAAGCACACAAAGTCTGGTGCTATGTTAAATCATTGAACACTTCCTCTAAGACGATAACTTTGTTGTATTTCGCGTCTGCTTGAAAGATGGCATAATAACCACCTTCACCGAATTCGATACTCAGCAAGCCAAACCTGCACTCGTTTCGCGCTATTAGATCAAGCACGGTAACCGAGTCAGTGCAACTGGCTACGAGAAATTCCACGCTTTTAAGGTCTTGGGTGTTGATATGTGTTTCAGATGAAGGCTACAGCCAGTCAAGCGATCGGGGTTCTCAATGATGTCGATCAAATTCAACTTCTACGAAAGCTCTTTTCATTTTCTGACGAACGCCGAAAGCAACGAAGGAAACGAATTGACGGCCTTGAACTACTAGTATAGTATTAGAGAGGTAGTCACAGAAATCTGTTGACGATTGTGTGATATCTCAGATGAGCGGCTCGTCCAAACCGAGCATTACATCAATCACAACAAACCGTGCTGGTCGGACGCGATCAGATGCCCGTAAGGACCCTCGTCGGAACTGCAATTGATGAAAACGGTGAAGCTGTCGCCCGGCACATGGGAATTGGGAAGCTACACGAGGTCCTCACGTATTTGAAAACTTTCCTCGACACCCAAAGAAACGCCGGTATTGTATTTACGATAATTTTAGAAATCGTTAAGTCACAGCAGGTCATAGAGGACAACGGGATGATATGGAATGGCGAACCATCTTCCCGGCAAGAAGCCGGACAATATATATACATTGCAATATCTCAAAATATATACAAACTGGGACGTTTGCAACGGAGTTTCGAGAAGCTCTTCCTATAGGTATAGGGGCCGTTGAGAAACGGAACTTACATTACCTGATCAAGTAAGCTCGTGGTCCTTTTCCATTCTCACATAACTAACCCTCCAGATCAGATTAAACGTTTACAGAGCCTTCGCAACTATAATATACACATACCACCAGATGAGAGAAACGAGATGGAGCTGCAATAGACTCATCAAGCATGTTTCATTGTCATGAACGCCTCTACCATGAGATTCGGGATGGACGTGATCATCTTGTCAATGGACAGGCAGTTCCGATGATTTGTTCTGGTTCTGCGAAGAATTTTCGATCGAAGATACGGGTTCGATGCGATTCCTCTTTGATCTTGAGTGGCTCCAGTACCGTTCCGCCGCCAGCATCAAACTCCCCTATCTCAACACCTCAATAGGTGAACTAGAGAAAGGTGGCAGCTGCAGGGGCTGCCAGGGGACCTGACCCTATTGCCAATGCTGGTGGAAATGTCGGCGGCAACTGAGTTGTTCTGTTGGAGTGTAATACCCTATTACGTGGCAAGTGCCGTTCTAATACCAACGCCAGGGATGAACGGAAGCCAAAGTCCATGGCCTCGCGGGGATATATGCCGCTCGGCAAACTTGGCATCATCATTGTTGCGCCTCCGAGCGGGTCAGGGGCAAGCATGACCTCTAGCGAAATCCGGTCTGTCTTCAAGGCGTAAGGCCTACCAGCCAATCGCCTTGAGCGATTGACATCTTGTCATCCGAACTATACCCAGACCTCTACTGCTCAAATATCCATTGTATGTTGCAATCATGGCAAATATCGGGGTAGCAAAGTCGAGTGAAATGGTGGAAACGTCTGCTTCCTCTACCTTCAAGTCTGAGCCAAAGAATTAGGAGGAGAAGGCCAAGGATAAGCCACCACGCGACTTTATCAACATTCGCTAACTACCCGCCCCCGAGGAGAAGGTAAAGTTGGGTGTGGATCAATCCAACCATGTCGTCTGCTGCAGAACCGAGCCGATAGAGTCTAGCATATATCCAGGATCTGTACAGAATGACACAAATCTGTCGCCTCCTAATGAATAGCGGTCTCTCCTCAAGTGGCTTCTGGAAAAGTCCCCAATCTTCGTGTGGGCACTTCAACTTGACCATGAAAGAGAACCTGAGACAGATCTTCCCGCACCCAACTACCCCCAGCACAATTAGAAGAATAGGGGAACTTTGTCTTGGTAGTAGACGCATCCTTGCTACAAAGATAACTATACCACGAGAAAACAAAGATCAGAGTTAGGATGATTCTATATATATTATTGAGACGTGGAGCATTTCATCTTCACGCAGGCCTCGTACGAAGGTCCGCTACCTCACCGACCATGATGCCAACACAGAAAGTTTCTCAAGACAAACACTTGAGTGTTGGCCGGCGTCGATATTCAACACATCACCGTGCTGTTTTGGCAAGACCATGAAGAAGAACTAAATCCTGTTCGGAAGAGCTAGAGACGAAAAGGGCGGGCCTATCGAGAGGTTCGTGGGGAGACACAAAATGTGCTCTGGGATCCTGCCGTCGAATGAGAACTTCCTCATCCTCCACAACTGATCATTACTTGTGGAGGTGACGTCCATAGGGCCCAGGAGGCAATCGTGTGTCCTCAGTGCCTTTTTCCATTCGGAGCAAGGACGAGTGATGATACAATCATCGTGAACATTGTGAAGTTGCGAAGTGCTGATGTGAAGAATCGGCGAAGCCCCGGAACCGGATACACCGAGCCCCAGACGCAGCACCCGATCGACGACCGCCGCCGCTGCCGCAGCCTCTTCCTCGAGCCCTGTACGAAGCCCTGCGCCCGAGACGCCGGCTAAGAAATCGATTTTAGTGAAGATAAAGGTGCCTAAAGGTGCCCAAGCGCCCGTCCAGGGCGAATGACATCCTGTTGAGAACAGCAGCCATCTCATCCAGAAAGGCACTGCCTAAGAGAGCATGCACAAAGTTTGCTTAATTAATTCTTCGTCACAAAAAGCGAGCCAAGATAATCATAGAAACCCAACCCTCCCCTCCCCTCCCCTCATTTTTCCTTTTCCCACAAGACTGGAAAACATCAAGTTCACAACAACAACCACAAAAGTCCTTCTCAACCGCCAGAAAGTCTTTCACGCGATACCAAATCATATTCCCATCACAACAAAGTTCGTTGTTTTCTCTATTCGTGTATTTGGAATCTCGGAGTGTCGCTTAAAGGTCTAGGGCAGATCCTTGCGATGATGACAGCGAACGAATCTTTGACCTCACCCATTCATACGCTATACGAGTTTTCATATATCAGAGAATGAGAAATATATGTCTAATACCGCCATTAAGAGACTACAGTGGAGCTACAGCAGAAGCAAGCCCACAACGCGGCCTGGCAGCCTTGAACCACAAGCGACCGCACATTACGGACAGCGCCAGCTATTGAAGTACCCCTTCTACAACTCTTATAAGCGATGATAGTTTCTTATTAATATCTGTATCTAATACACTCCGGACGAAGTCTTTACTCCTCGCCTCTCCTCAAAAGGTCCAGCCCTTTGGAGAAGAGTTCAAGGTACCTTACATTGCAAAGACAGGAAGAGCGGCAAATCTCCCCCTCGTCGAAACAGATTCGAGTCGAAAGCATTATAAAGCTTATGATACGACTCCTTATGAGCATAAATTGTACCATACCGAGTGATGCGAGGAAGACATGGTCTAGAGCCATCTCCAAGTGCGTTTTCCCCGGACATTTCATTATGATTGTAGCTGACCTCGTCTCAAGAAACGTATCAACCCTTGATGTCCTACCGTATGACTAGGCATGGGCATCCCTTGAGAGAAATAGAGCAGACAAGTTGCTGTAGGAAGAAACAAATCGCTCTCTCTTCTGTTCAATTCGACCGCAAGGGTGAAAAAGCATGAGGAGTCGATGATAAATTAGTCATGAGTAATTCAGAATTTGGGTCGATAATGGCGATAAAGCACGAGTATACCGGGGTTAGGATCGGGGTTGGGGGTTCTCTGGCTTGCTTCTTTGTAACTTTGAACTCAAGCTCTTGCTGAAGCAAGGGGCATAGCTTCAGAAGGTCTTTAGTATAGACTTAGGTAAACTTAGGCAAATGTATTATAGACTTCGGACGCCTTTAGACTAAGTTAGTATAATCTAAATAGCTCTCCATCGCCATCTTCGACAAGATCGTCGTCATAGCAGTGATAACTCGAAGCCAAGTGTGCGATAATGTAATGGGAGACTTGCGGACATTGACCTACGGCCAGAAAGCTGATTGCCAGAGCTGATACTAAAAGTTCAACAAAGTTATACTTGAGACCAGTATATATACTTTTGCGTATCTGTTGTAGTTTAAGATGACTATGTAATATGTTACTGTGTCATGAGGTTTAATGAGTTTGACTTATGCAATTGTAGTAGAACTTACCTACCTAGGTACCTAGGCTTCATGAATTCTGCAGAGTTAAATGGACCCAATTAGCATTGAGGAGTGCCTTGACCTGGCAGGAGTCGAAACAGTCGAGTCACACGGAAGGTACAGCTTGATTTCGGGGTCTTGCTCCTGGCCTTACCCGATGGAACAGCCGCATCAGCAAGCAACAACACCGCATGAGTCATATGACTTGCAAGCTTCGACAGAAGAAGAAAGCTTCGGTAGAAACAATAATCTGTTTGATAGATTGTAGTCATTACGAGATATGTCCACCACGTTCCAGCAGGCACCAGATGCACCGTGTAGACAGACAGTGCTAACAAGCGCAAACACTATGCGCTGATATCATGCCGTTTCTTTTTGTGGCTGCCCCTCCATCATCATTGCCCCACGTTCAAGTTTTTGCCCAACTTTACCTTCAACTCCAAACCTATACACAAACCACCAAGCAAATCCTGACGAGCATACACACATACCACCATGGATCCCCTCGATAACATGGCCGGCGCCCCCGTGCCCAAGAACTTTGACGCCGAGAACGCCCAGAACAACGAAGACGTACGCACCCTACCTTACCCCAACATCTGAAACAAACCCTCCTAACAGACCCCGTAACTAGATCGAGAAGCAATTCGCCGTCAAGGTCGTCCAGCACATGCAGACCTACTGGTCCATCCTCGAGCGCGTCAAGGGCTCATCCCTCCGCCTGACAAAGATCGACGACGAGATCATGGAGCACCTCAAGACCGACTTCCCCGAGTTCGACCCCGCCGCCAAGGTCAACGAGGACGAGATGAAGAGCAAGGCCGGCAAGGAGCGCTGGCGAAAGTTCATGATGGCGTATGAGAAGAAGGTGGACGACTATAACTTTGGTACCATGGTGCGCGATAGACCCGACGTTGAGTATGAGGAGGACACCACGATCTTTGTGCCTCGTATGCAGTTTTACGCTCTTGAGATTGCACGGTAAGTACTGATGTGCCGGGATGATGGAGATTGAGACTAATGGGGTGTAGAAACCGTGCTGGTCTCAATGACTGGATCTACGAGCAGGCTCAGGCTCAGAAGAACAAGTCCAAGTAATCGAAGACAAAAGAACGAACAATAAACAACAGCAGCCCTCCGAAGTGAGCCATGCGTACGTCCACGGCGTCGGGCCTCGAGCCCACATGAACCCTTGCAGGACAGGGAACAGCCTGAGTGGGCGAGGGCGATACATGGCGCCAATGATCTATGCATATCATGATCACGAACGTACGATCCAAATTGAATCCGATGGTTTTTCGTGTATTGGAATATTCCTTGATACCCTTAGAAATACATGGCATCAAAGTTTGGGTCCATCATGATTTTCTTCAAGTGCTCACCTTAGGGTAGGCAACTTGGAATTGAAAAGTTGACAGTTTGCACCTGGATGACTTTGAACATTATTACGAAGTGAATAAAAATCGTTATTCAAATAGCTTCAATATTCGGCTGTGATTTAGATGCCTTGGAAAGCAGGTAGGGCTGCAAGGGAAATTCAAAGTATGTGAGACTCAGTGTTTGACAACACATTAATGCCAGAACCAAGACGCAGTTTTCGCACCACGATTTCTCAATTCAAGCAAAGTTTAATCATGTATCATTACATCAAAGCCGTAACTTCTGCTCTAAACATTGAAATTGACTGCAATGAGTGCCATTTCATTTCCATTCTCAAGATAACATTACACCTTGAGAAACTCATCAACGTCCACCCTCTGGAAGTAGTTAATATGTCCAAACCCAACCCAGTGCTGCGCAAGCCGATCATGACTGACGAATATAAGCTGGCTCTCGATATACCGGTCTGTCTACGTCAGTACAAGCTCATCTAGACCAAGTACCAAGTGAGATAAGGGATTCGTTCATGACTTACCTGAGGCGAATCCTGTATTTGCAATATGTCCTTTGCTGTGCACCACTCTCATCCCCTGGAAGCAAGGATCTACTGGTGGACCGTCTACGAGACCGCCGGGTCCAATGTCATCAGCTACAAACGTGATTTCTCCCCGCGGAACGTTGGGATCACCAGTTAACTTAATAGCCTCCAGCCGTCCCTGAAACGTCCGTCCTTCAGTCCGTCTCGCTTCCCACTCTTCATCACTCTCAGAATCTCGTATCACAAGACCGAGTTCCTCATCTGTCGCACTCGTCTCATCGTCAGGTTGGTGTATAAGCAAAAACTCGCATCCGTGGGTGCTGTAATCGCCGACCCAAATTCCCCTCCACGGCTTTAGCACAGTCGGCGTATATAACTTGGGATCGAGGGTGGAGTACGTGACGAGCTCCTCGCCGACGTGAACGTTGGGCATTCCGCCGTCGACTGCGGTGCGTGATAATCTTAGCATATTGTATATCCCACCCAAACCAGCTGCCATACCGATTCGGGATAGACCGCCCGCCATTTCCATCCATTGGCGAATGCGGAAGAATCGCTCTGATACTTCTTCGCGGCGCTGAGGCCGGGATGATGGTGTTTTCACGAAGATGCCCTCTGACGTAACTTGCGTGCTGCTACCTGAGACATGGTGGTCTGAAGGGATATGAGGCGGTGGCCAGATGTTGCCGTATGGGAAACGCGAGTTGAGATTTTGTTGGGCTTCTTCTTGATCGAGCTCGCATGTTAGCATGAAATTGCTAAACAGAGCATCGATTCTGTCATCAAGAGTCACGGGCATCTCATCAGCGAAGCGATTGGCACCAGGTCGACTCAGAAAATCCTCCGGAGCCCGTTCTCCCACGCGAAACTGCAGTACGGGCTTATCAAGATGAAGCTTGACCTTAGGATCAAACTCATTAATCAAGACGTCGCCTTGTCCGATGAAACTTTGCTGTATTTGCCGGTCTCTACTGGCGAGTAATTGATAGCCCTCGATGCAACCCCGCCGAGGATCATAGCGAACGATCATGAGTCTTCCAGTGAGATCTCTATCGCAGAACCAGATTTTCTGCCTGGGGAGGAACCAGAGACGATCGTGAGCGACGTATAGCTCATGATAGCTGCCGCAGGGCTGGGGACTTGTGAGAGTGACGCCTGGGACGTTTTCTTGAACGAGGGGGTACCAGAGGACATCTGAGAGAGCGTGCTTATGCAGATCTCGACATGTTGCGGATATGGCGGAGAGGTCGTAGGGAGAAAGATGAGAAAGAATGTTGTCTATGAGTTCAGGAGGGAGATTTAGAAGAAGAGGAGGCCCGGGGTATGGATCTGATGATGGCTCGGACAGTGGTGACTGGGGTTCACTAGATGACATCTTGAGTGTGCCCTGAGGAGATAAGTTAAAGAGGCTGTTCCTATCTCATGAGTTTGATCAGATAAAATGATGGATATACCTTGTTTTTATCAGATCGGGGTCCAAGGCAGGGGTGGCGAGCTGATGAGTCGAGGGTGGATGGTCTAGAGGGTCTGGACTTGCAGCTTCAGCGGTGATGATGATGGGGGAAGTCGAGTTAATGCAGCTAAGCGGAGTTCAGCCGCAGGAGATGCCGACTCCAGAACGGAACCACTCGATTCTGATCAGGTCATGAGAGGGAGGGAAATACGAATTAACAATTTGGGTCAAAGAGCATGTTTTTATATGACAGCTTTAGTCGTATTGGGATATTTCGTTGACGACATTGTCTTGCTATAGATAGATTCATACGGGAAGTGGGGAGATGATCAATCACTCGCCCACGTACGGAGCATTCATTCACCAACTCAAACAACAGCAAGCAAGTCACAATAGAAGACAAAAAGAGTAGTAAATAAAGTAAAACTGTTAATATTTCAGATCACATCAGACCTACTCAACCCTTGTCTATCAACATGCATTATCAATCTCCATCCTCGTTAGGGAACTCTTGCGCCACTAGCTCCGGTGGCTGGGCCGCTTGAGGCCTAACGCCTGGCCTGTCTCTGTCTTCACTCTTGAGTCCCCCCCCCCCCCAAGCTTTCGAAACACCAAATCTACTCCCAAATCACCAGGTCACGCGCTTCTCTCTCACCCTTCAATAGTGCATCATTCAAAATCTCATTCATTGGACCCTAGAGTCTCTTGTGCTACTGGCAGACTTGTTCTCTTAGCCAATTATCATTCTACCGACGTCATCTCCCGCTGGGTATACCTTCGTCTTTCGCCGCCCACGTCACATTGCTCTGCTCTTCTATACATCTTCATCTCTTTGTGACTTTACTCTTGATACTATCGCGCATCTCTTTTTGAATATCGTGAACATATACAAACTCGCTGATGATGAGCTCGCTATTACCGCTTATCTCGGAAATCCTTCCGATGATAATGCCCGCCTCTGCCAACATCACCCGCGCCAAACAGCTTGAACCAACGCATCCTACTGTCGAAGGCCCTGTTATTGAACGTCCTGCTGTTGTCGGAAAGTGCGACAATATGTGCGTAACTGGTAGGTCAAGCTGTCTTGGATCCATGTCTCAACCTTATCGCTCATACGTCAGTTGTCACAACGCGTCCGCATTCCAAGTCTACAGTTCGACATAACAGTGAACAAGGTAAGCTCATCTAAACCTGTCTACTGTGCATAAACGCTGATGCTGAGTTTGTAGATACCATCATATACGCCGTCTCAGGAAACGGCGTTCTTATCGTGAATGAGGCTGTCAACTCTGAACTGAAACACCATGATCTTGCACCGGGAGACTTTGCCTTTGTTCCCGCCTGGGTCGAACATCAGGTCAAGAATGACACAGACGAAGATGTGCAATGGCTCATGATTCAAAATGGCTCAACTCCCATCCGCGCAGACTTGACAGAATGGGGTGGCGATGTGATCCAGTCAAAGAATTGAAGCAAATGACGACGCAGTTTCATTATTATATCGATCTATTTCACCGGCTAGTCCTGAGATACCATCCACTAACTTGCGCATCTCGATCTAACCATCTGAATCACCGACTCTCTACTTACACGATCATCAAACACTTGCGCGTGGTCCAGTTTCGGGAACATAACCACTTCAACGCCATTGTGCGATTCCGCTACCATGCCGTTCCGACCGATACCAAGATCAACCCCCAGATATTCTGCAACTGCTGTAGTGTCGACTATTAGGTCGCGACCAGACAGCGTAACTGCAACGTGCCTTGCATGATGGCCGTCACTTTGAGTCCCCAACAAATCTTCTTTCCATAAAATATTCTCACGCCAGAAGAAATGCCTGCCCAAACAGAGCGCAACTCCTGGGTCGGTGCTAGCGAAATACCACAGTTGCCATTCATTTGCCCTCCTGGGCTTCCTTCGAGTAAAGTTGTACGCTACATCGGGAAGATGTAGCATGATGGTCACAGGGTCGATAAGGACAACCGAGGGCACACGATGTTGGAAGCTTGGGTCGTGGAGCATGTGGGTTGTCAGAACGGAACCGTAGGAGTGTGATACCAGGGCAAATTTGTGCCAGCAGTGGTGTTCAAGGATGGATGTCATGTGAGCCAGGAACTCGGCTTTGTCGAGAATAGCTGGGGTGAGGCGGAATGAGATGGGTAATATCTCAAGGGCGATGACACCAACACTTCCGTTTCCGTCACCAGTTTTATGAAGACCTGCCAGAAAACGAACATATGTCCATAATCCGATACCGATCCCGTGGAAGAAGACAACAGGGAGCTTATCTTCGGCTGTATGAGGGCGATGCCAGTAACTCAATCGCGTGGACGGAGATTTGGGTCCAGGGAACAGCTCTTGGGGCCGCGGGGGGAATACACGAAGTGCAGAGGAGCGAGGCCGGCGGTGGAAGTCGAATCCGTGCCAGCGAAAGGCAAGGTGGGTAGCCTGGTCAAGGAAGAAGACGATAATATACCAAACAAGACTTCGATATGTTGTTGTGATACCATCAATCGTGAGACGAAGGCTTTTGACGTTGCCCCGTCCTTCCTCGAATTTTCGACCGAGTCGTTGTTCAACAAGGTCCAGATAGTGCTCAACTTCCTCCTCGACCGCCTCCTCATCATCCACCAACCCTGAACCATTCCCCCTCTCAAAGAAAGCCCATAACATGAACTCTCTCACATTCTCCCTCCGTATCTCCTTGGGATCTGCATCAAGAAACCACCATCTCAGATAAATCTCCAAAGACGGCACGTTTCCGAAACATCGCTCAAATAGGGCATTTCGGTCTTGGCGCGACAGCGCTGTTGGGTGGACTGCATCCCGTTTGAGCCGCTGCAGGTACGGTCTATATATAAACAGATAGAACACCGCTTCTGCCGACAGCGCAGCTAGAAGAACACACACAAATGGGAAGACGACGGAAACAGGTTGGACGAGAGGGAGGAATAAGATGAGAAAGATGTAAATTAGAGGCGTGTAGCGAAAGAAGGCGATGGATAAGCGAATAAGCACCCATTCACCGAATGATGTGCCGATCATGATGATATGACACTGGCCGGTTCAAACCGGGCTACAGTATATGTTCTTGAAACAAGAAGTTGGGGGATTATCATGGGAGTAGAGTAGATTGGAGTTTTGGAAAAGAGGAAAAGATCGGTGACGTGTCTGTTGAACACATTCTTCTGTTGGGGCGATGGTGGTAGGATGAGCCATCGCCTGGAGCAGTACAAGGGTCGCAAACACGGAAGGATTGTGGCTTGAATTGTGGCTCGTGTGAGCGTGAATGAAGACTCACTCAAGTGGGGCCGAGTCAGTCAGTGCCATGCGGCGGTCCACTCCACTGATGGGTGGGGCGGTCCGTCAGTGGAGTTCGGCGGGCCTTGACCCCACGATCTACAACGACTTCATCTCAACATCAGAACAAAGGGCCCTTTGTATACCAAACAGCAAACTCATTTATCAAATCAATCCGCCTTTTTAATAATATATAACTATTTGAAATCAATGCCGTGCTGTTGTGCACCGTATTAGCAATTCCAAATAACCATGAGTACCACGAATGATGTCGCACGTCAACAGCTGAAGACAACAAGCTGGGGACTGTGTTACTCGAATCCATGCAAGGGGCCCTGAATCTTTGTACTCCGGGGAACTGCAGCCTCTCCACGGAGTCTATCGCAACGATGAGATGGGTGATTACTGATAGCGCGTATACGAGAAATCGTTCCCTAGCCCTAGAAGCACAGTGGTGACACTACAGCTGGGTCTTGTATAATTGGCTAGAAGTCGTGTCCATGTCTGTCAAGCCCTCAATGCGGGTATCCTGTGGCATATGACAAGTCTCAGAAAGGAAACACAGAGGACGAGGTTTGCGCATGTGCAGGCAGCCAAATACGTGGGATTCCATCCAATTAACTCCATCAAAGTTATTCCCCAGCTTTCTGAGCCACACGAGCCCAACCAACTGTCACCCAAATTTGAAGATTGTACAATGCCTCTGCGGGTTACACGCAAGCTTACGCCGTATCACCATGCGGCAGGTTTCCCAGAGTGTGGCTGTGAGGGTACTGGTTCTCTACCTCTCCTCACATCCCCGCAGCATTTTGTAAGTACCCAGCCAGTACTGGGATGGTGGAGAATTGTCAGGCACCCCATTCATCCAACCACACTTTCACAATAAGACGTTGCGAACTATCAGATATGCAACCTCCCTTTCTGTCTCTACCCTTTTCCATTTCTGAGAACTAGACCAGTTGGTTGATATTACACGAGTCCGGGCGGCTCAATTACGCATTCTCCCGAAAATACAGGATCTCGGATTCAGCGGTATACACACACAATCGGAGTTACATGAAACTTCACACGCAATGGTGCGAGGCTTTCGAAGCAGGAGGATTATCTTTTCATCTCATTTTAGACAATCGCTGCCGTAGCATAGTCAGCCTTGTCGATAACGTACATCCGACGCATGCAGGTAGTTTCTTCAAGTGATTCGCATAGTGAAGCATCATAGGTAGACAAGGATCCTTCCCCAACATCATCGAGCATCTATCTGCTCACACCCTTGGACAATCCAGACAAAACGGGTGATTGCAGAAGCATATCGACGTTGCACATGCGACCGCACCCACGTAGGAGGGGGCATGCTGTAAATGCGTTGGCGCTCGCAGCGGCCTTGACATCGGGCTGTATGACCGACACTGTGATAGATACGGGGTAGTCAACCCGATATGTTTTACCAGTCTTGCTTATCGAGTATGAAGGAAAGAAGAGGAAAGAGGAAACATAAACAACTTCAAGTGGAGGAGAATACCCCAATGCCATCGGGTGGCCCGAACGACGCTGCAAAGAGTCGAGTCACGCACAAATCTTCTGGTAGTCAGTTGTCAATGGCCCAGCATTATTATCTTCCGGTGTCTGACACGACACAATGGGTGATCGTGTATACAGGAATAGCCAATCTTTTGTCGTCGTCGACTTAGATGAGGCGTGAGGAGTAGAAAGACAACGATAATTGATGTGCTGAAGCGTGGGGGGTAGGATAGGCTAGGAGTGAGGTTGTGAGAGGTTGTGAATACTGCACTGTGATTGGACGATGCGGGGGAAGCAGGAGTGTCGTTCCCTGGGCCTCCCATATATAGTCCTCCTCCCCCCTCGACCATTTTCTCTCATTCTCCCCCTTTCGTATCACTTCACTCTCCCCATCCAAACCCCATCAAAAAAATCTTCCCAATCGCATTTCCATCTCACTGCATCACTTGATAGCGTTCATGAACCCTTTTAGTCCAAGTAGGACAACCTTGCATCCACACCTGTCCTACATTGCTGCTGCTCTCACTTGATCTCCATGTATCCCATCACACTTGTGAACGTCCCCTTCCACTTAGCATGGCAATCAATCCTTTCCTCAACAAAGATGAGATGGCTTCTCGCCGTTCTTCCCACATCCCTCCCTTGTCGTCTTCCGCCCCAGAGTTTACACAAAGCAGTGTCTGGCTGTCATCCCAGAGCCGGGTCACTGAAAAGAAACTCCATTCAAAGAAGCGCAAGACCCAAGACGACCCTGCTATTGGTAGTGCCGCCTTCAGAGCTCGCCGCCTGGCTGAGATCCCTCGCCGTGTTCAGCGGATCGAAGAAGCGGATGCTTGGTCTCGGGATGAAGTTCCCAGAACGCCTGGCCTATACCAGCTGCCAGACTGGGATCAGTGCTCAAACATAGCCCAGGTGTCCTCACCTGGTCTGGAGCCAGAATATGAGCTCTGTCAGACGGCTCCGCTCGAGCCATATGGTGCCTCACTTGAGGCGGCCATTGATAACTGGCGAGGCAGCCGGCAACCGTCCCATCTCGATCATGACGGAGGCTTTGCTTACGCGGGGTCCTGGTGCTACACAGCACCCGTGGAACCTCGTCACCTGGAACTAGAGTGGCGCAACCCTGAGCGGGTCGTCCTCGCAGACGACTGGTGCCCTGAGACACCCAGGGATACTCGACTCTCCACGCCAGATCTGCCTCCACTTTCGACAGACTTTGAGTTTTGTCCATGCCATGGCTCAGGCGAGCATGAGCAAGATAGGATAAACCAAGAATTCTACTTGGCGACAAGATCCAAGATGGACGTGCAGAGTATGTTAATACTGACATGGCCAAGAGGCCCCCTTCTCTTGCTGATGAATACAGTGATAAATGCGCTGGCGCACATCGCACAGGACCAACAGTATCCGGAAGTGCGTTCCGACAAGTCTCGCGAGAGATGAAGGATGCGTGATGGTGAAGTGAAGGTAGTATTGGCAACATCTGTATAGGTCTGAGTTCTGGCGTTAATGAACCGGCATGATGAACTGAGCAACGTTTTGAAGAGCGGCGAAGCTATTAATAATTGGTTAGGTGTATACAGAGTGTGTTAGTACATTGTGCTTAGAGAATGATCATATGCAAGCAATTTGTGTTGAATGTTTCTTTTGAGGATGAATGTCGTTCGATTTGCTGCTCATTGTATGGGTAAGTGAGATATTGTGCATATCAAAATTAAGGCAATAAGACAAAAATGGATGCGAGAGCGAGAGAGGGTGTTTTAAAGGATAAAAAATTGAGGTATTGAGATGCGTTGATGATATGTTTACTTTAACATCCGTTTAGGAGGATACTCGATGGACCCAAGATTGGGGAAGACCTTAAGTGAGAAGTGAGACGAGACTGGGAGGGTGAAAATGGAAAGCAGGCAGAAGCGCCACATTGGCCTGAGGCAAAAACTAAGGCATTCAATTCTCCGACCAAAACTGGCAACACCTCGGACGACAAGAAGTCGATAATTCGACTGATGAGGCTCAAATTAGACGGCCAGACTGACGAATCTGCTGCGATCATGCAATGTCATCTAAAAAATGCACCGTCTAATCTGAAAACTGACAGCGCAATTCTATACCGGTGCCGCTACATATGCTGTGCACAGCGACGAATACCAGCTGACTTGCCCTCGTGGCAACTGTCAATGACACAGCATAGAATTGAGCCTCATTCCCATGTCATTTTGCTGTGATGATTCCGTAGAGAACGATGCGATGCGATGCGATGCGATGCGATGCGATGGCGGAGGCTGCTTTTAGGCTGGCGTGGTTGACCCAATGAATGGAGTCTCAAAACGCAGTATGAGAGGTGAAAAAACCCTCACGTCATACTTGTAAGGCCATTATCAACGCCACTATCAAAGTCGACAATAAAACTAGAGTAGACTCGTGCGTTGTTATTCCATTTTCATTGTTCAATAGTTGGGCTTTTCATGTTTCAGCACCAACATCGGCTTGCTTGATCTTAGTCTCACCAACGGAATTGGTTACGTCATTCATAATCGCCTTCATTCTTCATACAGCGGTTACTTTGATCACACTTACAAACGAACTAGAAATTACAAGATAGACAAAAGTAAAATGGCGGAGAATTACGTCCTTCGAATCACAGCTGGTCCTGATTACGATCAAGCCCAAAAGGTCGAGGTCCCAGTCAACACCGCCAAGCCCGTCACCATCAAGAGCGATCGCGCTGACATTGAGCTCAACGTCCGCGTCAACGACTACAAGGGTCTTCCTCGCAACTCACCAACGACTTCACCATATTTCTCAACCGAGCCTCACGCCTACAATAGGGATCAATACAGCATCTCATTCCGCTTCACACCAAAGAAGCCCTCCAGTGATGAGAGCGATGGTATCAAGGCCAAGGATCTTCAGTTCGGCAACGACTTTGATCATCCGATTCGAGATCGTCTACCGCCTGGTTTCAACACGGCTATGAGTATAGTGCGCTGGTGGATTGATCCTGGTCTGGATGGCGATGCGTATGCTGATAAGCCCTTCCTGTACGGCCCCGCGTTGAGTTCTTTCAACACTATTCATGTGGGCAAAGGTGAGTTTGATGAGGAGAAGGGCGGCCTTTGGTTCGAAGAGGGTGGCGATGAAGATGGTCTTGAAGCTCGTGAGGAAGTCGGCGCTCCTCTTGCTAGCAAGGCGAGAATGAAGTGGGCTCTCAGAGCTGACGCCAAAGAGAAGTGGGTGTTTGAGTACGACCAGACATACGGCTTTGACTTCTTCAATCCGTATCTCAACTTCTCAGACCTCGCGTTGAACTTACCTGGTTTCCAGCTACCCATCATGAAGTACTGGGACGGTCAAGGTCTCAGGTAAGCCAACACCCCTACTTTTCCACATCACCGGGGACATTTTGTCACACTCTTTCCATGCCTTTGCGTTTACACTCGTTATAGGCCCGGCCCGAAACGCTCACATCAACTCAGATATGTCTTGCGCAACAAGGAGACCGGGGAGCCGTACCTTGTGATTCTGTTCTCGCTGTATCACAAGGATTATGTAAATGAGGATGGGTCTTTGAAGGAAGGGGCACAGGATTCTCTGAAAGAACCTGAGAAGGTCACTGAGGGTGATGAGGAGTTTGATGGGGATGGAGCGTTGAAGGAGGCCACGGAGCAGTTGGGACCAAAGATTGATGTGAATGGAAACGAGCAGACGAGTGTTGACGATCTCGACTAGGGGATAATTAGAGATAAGGCTGGCGAGGATGTAATAGAATTCTAGATCTCGGGATGATAACCTAAAAAGGGAGAAAAGAAACAAGCTTGTTCGATCTCGTGTTTCGGGTGATGGATCGTATCCTCACTTATGTTCGGATCCGCCTCTCATTCGTCCCCAAAGATCCCATTTGTGGCTTCACATCTTTTGAATCATTCAAGCAATCTAAACATGAGACTAATGAGTAATGGCTGCAACAGCGGAGAACCCGGTCACATGAGCATTCACGTGCTCGTTCATCATCGCTCCTCTTCCATGGATCTGAAGCCTGTCACAAAAGACACAATTCCAGTTACAGATCCTCGGTACCGTCCACGCATAAATGGCAGCGCAGGATCTTTTTCCCGTCCACTAAACGTACACGTATGCTCAGATTTCACATATTGTGTGCGTGTGCGGGGTGTGGAATCTCAGATCTGCAAACGAGATATCTCATCCGGTAATAGCAGGACGTTTAAAAAGCAATCTCTGCTTTATTACCGAACGAAACCCCCTCAAAAGGTCGAGACTGTTTCGTTCCTCGGGTCAACGGTCCAATTGGATAACCTCTCGGCTCTTATCATCCGAGCGTGGCTTTCCTAAACAAGTGGCTGCCGGAGCGGCATCTCAATATCCAGCAGGTCGTTTGGTGACGTGGGGAACTTGGCGTGCGAAAGAGGCTTGGTCTAGGGGTTTAGCGTTTGGCTTTGTTCACGTCCGTCTTGTTCCCGATGCCTTGGTGCCGGGGCTATGATGGATGACTACGGCATTGTCCCCGGATGGATTATGTACCAAAGGTCGTATACGTAGGAGCGGAGAGGGAGACGAAAACTTGATCTTCCCAACATCCTCTCTTGTTACTGTTGCAACTGACCTTGTAACAACGGTGAAAGTTTTGTGTTTCTTCCGTTGGTGTCTGTGTCTTACACGCAACCACTGATCGACCCGAGATATCACTGCCTCTCCCGCTGACGTCCCTGTCTCTCAACCTGACCGTGCCGCACAAAAATATCCTCCATGACCCATCGGAGAGAATGTATTCCCCGTTAGCGTTTCCCAGTGTCCGAGTCACACCTCAAACGTGGGCCTAGCAGGCGGATACAGCGCCAAGACACCATTATTCCCGTTGGTATCCCGCCTTTTGACCCTCACCCAGCCCTTGATAATTCCGGGTTTACGTTCCGGATACAACACGGTCGTTGTTCCTGTCCTCTTCTTATTGTAATCATAATCCGCCCTTGTGTCTCCCCATACATTCTGCTCTTCTCTTCTCCCTCTCACCGCTGTGTGTCTGGTGAAATATTTGGATGTCGTTGGACTCCCCTCGCTGCTGTATAAATTGTCGGTTTCTGGACATTGAACATCACGAACTATCGATATGATCGAGTCTGATACGGTCCAAACTGCGGGTACTTCCTTTCAGGGCCAGGGCGACCTCGAGATTGGTCCCAGCACCCTCCCGCCTTCACCAGCACAACCAAATCTTGGTAGTGAAGACCCTATATCCTATCTATATCTGACACTCGACACTCCCCTACCATCACCACTATCATCAGACTCAAATCCTACACAAACTCTCCCACCATGTCCAGATCTCCGACCCTACGCTTCACCCTTCACGTTGCCGCGAGCACGCAAAAACATCTTCCTCGCGCTCTCGTGCATCGCGACAATGCTGACAGCATACACTGCTGGAACCTACTCCCCACCCTCAAGAGCCATGGCTAGAGATATTGGGGCAAGTCATATAGCTACACTCGCCGGAATCACGACTTTCTGTGCTGGTTTCGCCATTGCGCCCATGGCACTCGCCCCCATTTCTGAGATTTGGGGTAGACGTCCTGTTTTTATCCTCGCTGGTTTTGTATTTGTCATTTCCCAAGCCATTTGTTCTGTCATGCCCAACTTGGCCGGCATGTTGATCGCCCGCTTCTTCGTTGGTGTTGGCGGTTCCGTCTTCAGTTCTGTCGTGGGCGGTGTCATTGCTGATCTGTGGGAAAAGGAGGAGAGGAATACCCCGATGGCTCTCTTCAGTGGTTTTGTACTGTTTGGAACTGGCCTTGGACCTTTGGTGTCTGCTGCTTTCGTCAACGATCTTGAAGATGATACAATGGCTTGGAAGTGGTCCTTCTGGCACCAAGTCATTCTTGATGGACTGTTGCTGGTTGCCATCTTGATACTCTTCAAAGAGACGCGAGGCTCGGTCTTGTTGTCCCGCAAAGCCAAGAAGTTGAATCAGTGGTATCAACAGCTCGAGGATGCAGGTGTTTATGGACTTTGGGTGGTCGACCCTCGAGACGATACCTGCAGCTCGTCATCTTCAAGCGTCAAGACCATGCCAGGACACGAAACGATGCTCGAGTACAACAGACCAACACAACTACGAAGAATACGATGGCTCGTTGAAGCAGACGAACAAAGACCCCCTCTTCGACAAATGATGGCCACCTCCATCATGCGACCCTTTCACCTCTTGTTCACCGAACCAGTTGTCTTTTTCTTTTCCCTCTGGGCTGCCTTCTCTTGGGCCGTCCTCTATCTCTCCTTCTCCATTGTACCCTATCTCTACTCCGACAACTTCAACATGTCGATGCGCATCTATATTGCGATGATGGCATCTGCTATCATCGCGACTGTGGTCGGCATTCTTCAAGAGAATCTGATGAAACATCCTCTTTGGAGCGGACATGTTAGCG